AAAAAAAGTAACGATCAGTTTTAAAAATGGCGTAAAGTACACTTTGTGTGGTATATCTACACAGCTACCGAGACGAGCAGGCAGATGTGTGCCGATGTGTATTACAATGTACCTACACAATATTACCACAACAATTTTGTATGTGAATAAGCAAAACCACAATGCCCGAACCGGCAAACGAGGAGGGTCTCCCAAATTTCAGGGATCAGTTAAAAAAAGAAGAAGACAATACGAACATAAAACGACACACGACTATCGAAAAGTGAGAACATTATGTAAGTACTGCAAAGAGTAGGGAAGTGCCTCCACATTTTCCATGACATTCCGATTCCTCAAATTGAAGACGAAGTTCTACGAAAGCTAACTTTTCAAACAACCGGCGTGCCTCTGCATTACCATGCGTAAAAGTGGAAAAAGTCGGAAACCAGTAATGTCTGGCCATATTAAAATGCTTTTTTGCAACTGATTATGTTTAATAGTATCAAATTTTTACATCTTTTTTAAACGTGCAAATCTGCATCTCACGCTCACCCTGTATAATGCAAGGACTTCATTAATTACACTATTTCTGTTGTTAATTAACTGTGCTAAGAGAGGGCTATCCTGTGCATAGGTATTAATACAGAACTATCTCTTTTGTGATATTATAGTTACCTGTCTCAGGGGATATAAGACCATGCCTGATAAGAAAATCAATAACAACAGGACAACTTGTAGTTTTGAAATCAGATGAGAAAACTTTCTCCAGAGCTTCCTGCAAAAAACAAAAACAAAAACAAATAATTAAAATAAGATTTGAGGTTTTCATGGTTGTGAGAATGAAAATGATGTTCTTTTGGGTTTCAGCACAACGTAGACTCATCGACAGATGCCAATGTTTTGGAGAAACAAAATGACAGAATCTTCATGGCTGAAGATGAAAAAAGTATGTTTCTCCAAAATGCCAGCATCTACATGGTGCCAAAACACAGAAAAACATCATCAAATGATTGAACCCCAACCCCCACTTCCTTCTCAGTGGGAACTTTTAAAAACAATTCCCTACAAACATTTGAACACATTTTTTTTTATTTTTCATATCCAAGCTATACGTCTAGCTCAATGTAGTCTACCGTAAAACAAATACAAAGTTGACATAAGTTTTTATACATTTTACAGATATTAAATTAGCTTTATGATACATAACAGAGTAAACAATTATCAGGCCCCAGGAGATGCTGTAAGGTCCAAAATTATAATGTAAACTCCTAATTATAAAGTAATTCTAAAAAGAACAGTTCTTCATATTGTACAATAAAATTCATGCTTCTGCTATGTTAATTACGATAACATATAAAGAACGACATACTTTCGCAGGCAGAAGTTCGAACGCTTCTACTTCTCCGTCGCTGTTACTTGGAACAAAGTCTGCTGGCAACTCCAAATCAAAAACAAATTCTGTATTGGGGAACAGACCACGCTCACTTTCAAAGAAGAACCTGGTCAAAGAAAGATCGGTAGTTAATCCCACAAAAATGTATCAACTGCTTACGTTGTTCAACGATTTAATGAGCAAGGGTACCGAAAAACTGTTAAACCTCTCACGTGGAAGAGGTTACACATCAGACACTTCTGCTGTTTCACAAGCCAGCTGAGATTCAGTGACAATTTCACAAACAAATTCAATATTCCTCATTGCAGATAAATATCGAAGTGATAACATGAAGGTAATTTTTTTATTTAACGTACAGCAACGCAAAAAATTCAACTGAGGAGGAATGAATACTTTCCTCGAGATAAATTTATTGATAAAACCAGAGACAACCAATAATATTTTTATATCTGGAAAAGGAGAGGTACATAAACAATCCTTGCAGTCTACACATGACACCAGGTACATCACGTTACTCACGAGACACATCCTGCAGGCCTAAGCTTAGCGATTAACTCTGCCGGTATAGAAGCCTCTTCGGCAGCTTCCTTAGCAGCAGTCTCCAGAATTCCGTAACCTACGGACAGACCTCCACCTACCTGCAATGTACAAATTTTCAAATTTCTGTTTACAATTACTGAATAAACAATTTTGGATATCCATTTCCCAACCTTTCAATTCTTATTGTAAAGGCTCAACTTGAGAATATGTCAACACATTTTAAATTTTTCCGGTATTACAGCCAGATACTTCAGCAGTGAAACATTTGTCTGTTTCTTATACACAATTACATACCTTACCACAATTATAAATATTTGGATTGAGGAAGCAATGTTCTTGATACACACCATGTTGTCCCACTTTCCAGGCCATGTCTGCTTCGTTGCTGAGCGCTGTTGCAGCCAGATACACAGTCCCTTCTCCGGGTCCATGACATAACCATTGATGTCCACACCATAATTACGGATGCCAAAGAGACCTGAGATAAAATATTAAACTTTACTTACAGTGCTTTCTGGTGGCACTTCAGTTAATTAAAAGAAATCTGCAGCTAAAGAAAGAAGGTATTACATGTTTCATTTAAAAATAATGTGAAACTTAATTCGAGATTAAGTAAAATACTGAGGAGAAAAGACTGTCAAAATTAGAACTATAGCTGTATGACAAAATATAATTCATAATAGAATTTTATAAGCCAAGCCCAATTTCTTTCATTTCCCCCGAGTCCCTTTAATTATGGCCCTTCTGACCTTCCTTCTTCCGATTATCTATTCTACTAGACGGGAATGTATTTCCTTGCAATGGCATAGGATCACCGACAAATGAAACCTACAGCTTAACGTCAAATCCAAAGAATGGCAAGACCTGATATTCCGTGTATTCACAAAGTTCTGATTCTGTCAAACACGACAGATGAGAAATGAAACAGAAAAAACAGTACTGAATCTGACGGTCTTAAACCAAAAACCTTTGGCGTGGGAGTCAATTGCCTTACCTTATACCGATTCAATTTTTATACTTTTACTATACAAGATTTGTTGTGGGAGTTAATGCTCCATGAATTCTAGACCTCAGCAATGGAGGAAGGTAATCTGTCGGGTCCATACGTCAGCCGATTGAAACCCGTGTGAACGAGCGCTCAGCATACCCACTAGACAGGAAGGCTGGTGAGCTAAAGACCTTGTCTGGATGCGACACAGAAGAGAAAAATCATTTGCTCTTCCAGGAATTCAATTCCAGTCATCATACTAGGAGACACCCGAGCATAAACATGGACAAAACCATGCGCACATTTTAATTTTGAAACCATCTAGTCATCATATATTACAAAGAAGGAAATTAAGGTCTTCAAATATGTGATCCTAAACTGGTAATAACATGCACATTATTTTTTTTATATATAAATTTTCTAGTCTGGTACAAAAATTATGGATATCAAACAGTAAAAACATAAAAATTCATATTCAGAATTGTGATTTTTAAATAAACTCTTCTATATTTAGACCATGGGAAGTATGTACACCTACTTTCTTATATTGTCAATGTGATGCACACCACAGCCAGCTACAAACGGCATCCGACAGCACCAGCCAAGGGACGACAACAACATAAATTACAATGGAATATTATAATTATTTAACTTACAGGTTGCCGATCGGTCCATCTTGAGCAGTGAATGGTTGGAGAACACGGTCCGAACCTCAAAACACTGCATTATACAAACATAATCGTAAGACAAAATTGTACATACTTAATACGCAGTATCAAACAACTCTAAACACTGTTTTTGCTGTTGTTAACATCCAACACCGGCGCAAACTTTTATTTCCTTGTCTCTACCCCTCTTCAAACAATACACACAAATTAAAAAAAAAACACACACACAATTTTGTGAGATTTGAGGTTTTCAAATTGGTGATGATGATGATGTTCTTCTGGGTTTTGGCGCCATTTGGACTGGTCAATAAATGCCAGTATTTTGAAGAAACATACTGTCTCCATCTTCAGGGCTTAAGATAAAGATAAAATGTTTCTCTGAAACATTGGCCAGTCAAAATTGTGCCAAAACCCAGAAGAACATTATCATAACATAATTTTACCGGCAGTTTTCACAAAGTTACAAAACCTCATCTTTAACTATGAAGGAGGATCAGAAACATACCATTTGTCGATGTATAATTACTATGATCTTAAGAGGCAGGATTCACAGCCACTGCATAATTATCAACGCAGATTAAATCAAAATAATATTATGCACTCATAAATTAATTTACATCTATAATATAATGAACCCGAGACGCTACGCACCATCCAGGAGCTTGAGGGGAGAGGAGTTACAGCTCCTACTCATTCTTAACCTTGGCACTAGTGGGAATAAGTGATCGGCATAATGCCTGGCTACACTTGACCACAGAGAAAAAGACCCCTGGTGTCTACTGAATAGGAGGCTGGGTGTGCCCCAGAACAAATATGGACTCAGAGACCAAACAAAAAATCCTTTATCCCTGCCAGGAATTGAACTGTGATCATTCAGTCTGTAGTCAGTCACCATAACGACCGAGTTACCCCAGCCCTAATGTAATATGAATATTAAACACCAATATATCACTTATGCACTCAACATGAGCTGTTATGTGACAGATAAAATATGCAGACAGCTGCAGTACAAACATGCAACATTTAAATATTTCCAACATTTTGCCAAGATCCGAAATTGACATAGTTCCAGAAATATTACATTAAAATGCCTTATGGCCCGTTCTGGATCCACCTCTGGATGTAAGAAATAACTCACACATAACCCAGAAAGTTCTCTCTTTACAGCAAGTCTGTGGGATTTCATGTTCAAAACAAGTTTCCTTCCACAACCTCATTCTTCAATTCTTAGCTACCGAATGCTCCAGTCTTAATGCTAACACGTCTGAAATCAGTTTCTGTCTGACAACAAATCATTAAGCGCTGAACCAGAATTAATCCCTAATTCGCTTTACAAAACATAAAACAAACATAAATATGTTTGCTCCACTATCGTTGACCAACTCTTTGGTGTACGATCCTTTTCAGCAATTCACTGTACACTTTCCAAAACACAGAAGACCGGGACACACAGAAAAATAATATTATAAGTCGTTTTGTACGGGCGTGAAACCTATCCTCTTAATCTGACGGAAAAACATATATTACGAGTTTCCAAAAACAAAATGTCCAGAAAAATATTCAGCCCTAAGAATCATTAAGTAAATAAACAATTTTAGGACATTACACAACAACAACGTTCATTAAAATCTTTAAGAACCGACACTATAGGACAGACAAGATATGCAAAGAGTACCATAAGACTGAGAAGGGACAAATAGGATAACATTAAGATATTAAGATATGGCAGAGAGGCTGTAAGGACCATATGTGGAGGGACCTGACTTAAGATATTACCCAACAGCAGGTTGTGACACTTAGCTCCTGTCTAGAAGGAATGGTACCGGGAATTGAATAAACAAAGACAAAAGGCAGTTTCAATGTTAACAAACAAACCCCAAAATGAATAACAAGTACCTAAGAGCTCATTATTACACAAAACGAAGTACTTGCCTCATCTCGCCATCCCTTTAATGCGATGAATACGTTATTAGATCGGCACTCTCTCAAGACTGCTTCAACCTTTGAGCTTCGATCGTCATAGTCTCTGAAAGCTGGGTTGAGTTCAACAGAATCTGGTTGAATGTGAAACACATCTGGATAACGTAATAGTTGCAACATTACATCTGGTCTCACTAACCCAACCTGATAGCCTTCGACAATAAAGGGCCGACACTTTCCCTGCTGCTGTTCTAAAAATTCAAATAGATATACAAACATGTGAGAATAAATTATACAAGATATGGACAACCTTTATGTGGCCTTGAACTGAAACTAATTTTCGTATCATGGGTACAGACAACAATATTACATATCAACTAAGATTTACCAGTTGTTGAAAAAAATTAAGTCTCAAATCAAGGCCAGTATAAGAATCAACTACAAACATTGATTTGTCAATGTTAAAACATAAAACATCCTTAATATTTTACACAAAAAACAGGTAGCAGACACAAATTAAATTTGATAAAAAAATTATAAAACTTTACTCAGACCAGACAAAAAAGTTACGGCATGCCACATCCAGCCAATGGGCTGAAGTCGCCCATGCGAGGAATACAAATTTACTGTACTCTTTACGCGTTAAATATATTGCTGATCACTATACTGTACTAATTCATTCGATAAACTTGTATTTGTCAACCACAAATAAGCTGAATCCACCGTCAACCCACATAACAAGGAAATGCTGCTAGAAGAAGCAGAAGAAGAAAAATGTTAATCCAGGCAACTAAAATTAATTTCTTACTAATAATAATTTGTAAAATAATATAAGTAATGAAGATGTGAGAAACAGAGAATATTTATAAAATGCAGGATGAATTAAAATGAAAGAGACATAAGTGGTCAGATCACAGAAAAAAAAGACAGGTTATCAAAACACCCAACAAAACTGAAGCCAATAAAGAACAAAGCCCTACCTGGGGGCACACAGATAAATTATAATCTTGATGATTATGCTTTGAAATGTTTACTCACACTCACTGTTTTATTAGTTAAGACACATAAGATTTCTTCAATTTCACAACCAAGCTATACCAAGGGTAGATGCAATATTAAGTGTCTTCATGCTAGGTTAGGTTAAGCAAATAAATCTAAGTAAATGTTCACCAACATTCAGGCAAAGCTTGAAAATCTTTGTGAAGTTTATTTATAGGCATGATTTATACCAAGATGGCTCCTGACGGCAATAAAAATTAATAATTATAATATTAGACACTGTCCATTGTCTGAGGTATACTAAATATACCCAATGTTTTGGAAGTTGGCACTACTCACATCTTCTGGTGATTACCACCATACAGGCTCATCTGTTATTACTTTTCTTTATATTAGTGGCAACAGTTATAATCAAACCTGGAAAATTTTGAATATTAACCTATTATGCCAAACACTAGACCGCTGTTACTGTCCCTATATACAAATTATGAGATATCACAATGCCAAAATGACAACAAAAAAACATGTAATTTTATGGGATTTAAGTTTATTCAGGGTGTGGCCTGAACCGATAATATGCCACTTAAGTACACTTTTACTATTCTAAGAGTCTTTATCTGAAAAGGATATAATTTCACTATGTAAACTCAATACCAGAAAAAAAAGTCTGCATGAAGAAAATACATGGATGAGGAATGTTAAACAGCAATCAGGATTTCCTGAGAACATTTAACAAAGGTCTCTTGTCCTCTCTCTTTTCCACCCCCCTTCCCTTATTCAGATTCACAACCAGTAAGCATGGCTGTCAATACTGACATTATTCCATGATGAAATGTCATGATGCATATGAGGTCTTACAACACAAAACTATAAAAAGTGATTATTTTAAACAACACTATACATTTACATTCAATCATATTCATATATTAGGCTTTGAGACTTCATACATGTTGTATGACAAGTATACACCACGTAAAAGCATATTCCTTCAAATTCGGTTTACCACTCTTACAAAATTATTAATTTAAGAGCAAACTGTTAAGAAAATCACAGCCGCCAATTAATACAGCATACATACTAATATATGAATTCGAGAACAAAAGTACATATGAATAAAATGTATCCATCCAGTCGCCCAACATAATATAAACATGAAAACAATGGCATAAGATCGATGTTTACCAAACGGGTAGTAACAAAGTAGGCGTTATTGAAATCAATACTGTACACATTCACGAACAACCACAAAATTACTTCGCTCGAAGCAAAATACGACGACTGTCTTAACTAATTTCTTAAATCACTAAATATTCCTTCATAAATACCTGACAGGTAGAAACAGTTGAATTTATGCGCTAATTTCAGGAGCCGTGACATCGATAGCTCAGTCGCCGCCATGCCATTCCTTGGCATCATCAGCATAGCCTGCTTTCAGAAATACGTAAAGTTAGCAGAAACACAGCTGTCAGTGGTAGGTTTCCAAATGTAACCACAAAGTGCTCCGTTGAATGGAGTATCGGTCAGTTAATATAGTTAGAACTGGGTCTGCATTGTGAAAAGTACATGCATTCATGCACTAATTTCTTCCTGAAAAATATCGCGTAATAACAGCTGCACAAAATAAAATATGCCGCTGCAAACTGAAAATAAATTATATTCTGTGTGTTATCACTGCAGTGACAATGCGGACACGACGATAAATTAACAAGAAAAACCTGCCTGGAAGTGAAATTATATAGGTCACTATGAAAGGAATACAATTTCGGATATATTATTGATTAATATTAAACTATTATCATGTACTCCTACTTCAGACTCTTACACAGCCTGTCAAACAAGAATAACTGCAAAATACACACAAAAGTAAAAGGCATGTTCAATACAATATTTGGAAAACATTTGGTTTTGACAAATACTATTTCCTGTGGAGTACTTATGGGAGCTGGAGATTTAATTCAACAAGAAATCGAAAGATACAGAAATGTAAATAGCAAACCTTTTGATTGGAAAAGGACAGGTTTGTGTTGTGTGCACTGGAGTAAATCTGGAAATTACAAGCTTATTATATTAAACTAGAAATTAGACTGCTTTTGATAATTTTTTGCTTCTTATAGGTCGTATGTTTGTTGTGGGCCTTACTCAGGGCCCACCACAGCACATCTTTTATAAATTCTTGGACCGGGGCCTTCCAAGACGAGATTTTAGAAGCATATCAATTAAGATCATCATAGATCAGCTAATAGCATCACCAGTCTGCATCTGTATATTCTTCTTTGGAATGGGGTACCTTGAGGACCAGACATGGGATGAAATTATTTCAGAATCAAAGAAGAAATTTCTAACTGTTTATTTGGTATACCTGGCATATGTATATATGTGTTAAAAACCAACTCTCTAGTAACATAACCCAAAGGGTCAACATTATCAATACCAAAGCCCACAACTGAAAATAATCTACACTCAGTTGCACTGATGCTCAATCTGTTTCTCTAAGATCTATGTTAATGTTATCCTCCCATTTTCTACCAGTCAAGACCAACACCTTTTCCTCAAAATTAAAAAAAAAAAATCAGCCAGCCTGAGATACCACTGTGAAAACTTCAAATCCTAGCACATGCTAATTTTCTTTCCTAAAACCACAGTTTTGTTTTTAATTTTTAACTTTCTTTTAGTAGTTGCAGAGTGTATGAAGTGAGACCAATGTTCACAATCATCCAGCGTCAGTGAAAATTTCAATTCTTTGCTTAATGTATATAAACGCATTTTTGTTTGTGTTATATGGGAAAAGTTTCAATAATTACACTTGTATATTATTTTGTAGGTAGACTGGTTAGTCTGGCCACCGACTCAGGTTATAAACTTCTATTTTCTGAAACCGAAGTATCGGGTTATGTATATCAACATAATGACGATGCTGTATGACGTGTTCCTCTCCTACATAAAGCACGATGTATAATGTGAGTACAATTTATGGCTGTCTGCTGCTTAAATCTTCAAACCAAAGTTTTTATATTTTCACACAACCTTAATAAAAGTCCTCCACTTTTGTCATCAATGAATGGCCAAAAGCAGTGATTTCATAATCCCATCATCAATAAACATTCTTATACAAAAGTAATTTCTCTTACTGTACCATTACTGCCATCAATAAAAATAATATTTTGACATTACTTTTATGTTTCAGTCTCTCTAAGCAAAGATTTTTGAGAATGGAGTTCTGAGGAGAATAACTGAAGCTATGAAAGAGGAAACAGAAGAGAACAGAGAAAATTGCATAATGAAGAACATAATTTGTGACCTACACACATAACTGGTAAGGCACCTAAATCAAATATAATGAAATGGGTGGAACATGTAGCATGCATATAAAATTTTGGTCACCAAAACCTGAAAGGAAGATGTTAACATGGACAGCGTAGTATATGCATAAATTATAATTTAATATTACTGGTGGGAATATGAGCTGACAGCATTATAACTTGTAGATTGATACTAGTGTTTCAGAAAAGGCTACTATCCATATTCAGGGCTGAAGAGGTTCACTACAGAAGTTCTGAGGTTCTTGTCGCAGTGAACGTGTCAATGTTGGTCTTTTGGGAAACAACATCCTGAACATGGTGACAGTATGTTCCTCCAAAAACAATGGTATTTGTCTACAAGTCCATATGGCATTACAACCCAAAAGACCAGCAATGACAACACAAGGAACACACAGGTGATTGGTCACAAATAACTTACGATTCGCAAAATTAAACATTTTCACAGCAAAATTTATGTAATAGTGAGGACCAGCACACTGATTGCTGTATTATTAAGACAATGTTCAGGCATAATGCAAGAAACTGCTGGTTATACCATTTACTTATAATTCATCATGTTATCCTCTGCCTTCATAATGGTTTCCCAACCAAAATACTATATGCATTTTATGTTTTACCCAAGTCACACGTTTGATCTCTATTTCACTTTAGTAACAATAGTTCGTTAATTCAGTCAATATTTGTCAAAATGTCAAATAATAGCATACGAACCACATAGTGTATTTTCTGTGTGATAACAGCCATTGTAACATTTGTAATAGTGTAAGATTACAGACCTATATCCATGTTTATACACGTTTTTAATATGTCTCCCTCTTATGGGTCCTTTGGCACTCTAGTGTGGACGCAAACGTTTTGAGGTTATGCCTACAAAACTTTGTCATATCTGCGGTTAAATCAACAGACTACTTGCTGACAGGAAAAAAATTAGCGACACTGGTTACCTTTACAGTATGGTTTCATACCTTTAAAAAGAATACGAATATACGCCATCAACCACCTGCACGTGAATAAAATATTCGTACAAAATTTATTGTCCGACAGTGCGAAGCGTACTGAACTGATACCGAATGTAGTTCACTGGCGGGTAAAATGCAGGAAATAACACCAGCTGAGCGACAACAAAAATCTCAAGAACTATTAATATTGCTTGCAATAATATTCACCTACCTTCCAAAGTAGCATTCCATTTTTGTATCGGCACATGGTTATTTCGTTTGAAGCACCTATTATAACCTCTCACTGTGCCTCCCTGGAAACAATTATCATTTATACACATTATATCAAAGCAAACTTCCACATCACGGATCAAGTAGATAAGCTATGCAAGTCATGCATGTCAAGTCTTGGCTGTGAAGTTGGTATTAAATATAGTTATGGCGTTGTTACCGCAGCTAAGTCGGTAATAAGATAAACTGTTATTCGACCATCATGATGAAACAAAGCTACTCAGGACAAGATACATTATTAGTACCAAAAAATATGATACATGCAAATTGATATATTCTAAAATCATAATAGCACAGGCATTATACACTTACATTTTGTAGCATACCATACAGAATGGATTATATAAACTCAAAATACAGAAAAATATGAACTACAAAGTATAACATAGGCAGGGCTAACATTCATAAAAAAAAAATTAACAAACATGCAAGGGGAAAAAAAAAGGGAATACACAAAATGGTGATAAGAGGTCAAAGAATAAACATGGAAAAATCTTTTTGAAAACAAATATAAAAATAGTTCTAAAAATTAATAATACAAAATTGATCTTCAGGGGTAGAAATGGCTTTTTGTAGCTGGGTAGAGATTCCAAGTTAATATAACAGCCTGGAGGAATTACCAGAAAATTATTAAAATTGCATGTTCAGGAATTCATCCCTGCATATATTTTTGCTGGGAACAACAGCTGACATCACAACGAACTGGAAACAGCTTCATTAAAAAAGTGTGCTGGAAATAATTAATCTACCCACATCTGAACCCATTTCTGGCTCTGTATATTACAGAGAAAACCAAAAAGATTAAAAGAGTACAACAGTGCCAGCAGACACTTAAAATAACATCTGGAAACACATAAGTAGCAGTAACACTTAAGAGGACATCTCAAAATCAAATAACAAACACACATAAGGTACAATAAACCAAATTATGGAAGAAGAAAAAACTTCACACCATAAAAGTATGGGGGACAAACATAAAAGTTACCACACGCATTTACATAACCGATAAAAAAAATGACAACCAGCTTACGTACTATTACTAGTCTTATTGTATTGGTACTGGTCAGCAGAAAATAGTTACATAAACAAATCTGTAGGTGAGTAAAACTCTGAAGTGAATTCCTTGTCACTGCGGCAGGACATATCCTCACGTTTCAGACAGAGGAGATGTCCTCCACGTATGGAGGACAACTGCAAATATACATCACAAACAAGTAGCAATGGGTTGTCTTACAGCTTGTGGTGCGATCAGTGGGCCATAACAAAGTAAAATGTTATACGAACTTGAGCAAATTCTTTGTAACAACTTAAGCAACAAAAAATATACATGAGATTTATAAATGTAGAGTGTTATGATGTGGACTGGATTCCTATGCAGCCAGTCGAGGGCTTTTATAAACATAGAAATGAACCTTTACGTTACATAAAAGGCGTAGAAATTCTTTACTGATCGGGGAACATTATCTGGACTCAGCTGAACGGAGTGAATTATCACTGATAAGTAAACTTTGGTACCTGCACCTTGTCGTGGTGGTGGGGCCGAGTACCTCAGTGACCCCAAGAGCTACTGGTAGGGCCTCCCTAGCCCTATTGGTCGAGGGGGGAGAGGTCAGACTAAGACAGGTACCCTGGTCCTCCAGGTTGGGGGTTGGTCGCAAGGCTAACAACCTTGCGCCATGAAAAGGAAGATGTTCAATCAAAGCCTCGGACAGACGGACCTAACAGAGGACCGAATGGAAGAGGAGAATTGAGGAGGTCACGGACCGAGTACGGACCAGAGAGCCATAGAAGAAGAAGAAGAAGAAGAAGTAAACTTTGGTTCAAGTTAAAAATATAAGCTGTAAGAATGCACACGTATAAACTTGGTGGAATGGCTGAAGTAATGCATTTACAAAGCACAATACTATTAAGGCAGTACTACACATTAATCTGATTTTCACCATGCCATGTTAGGTATGAAGTCCAAACAAAAACAGTTGAATCTACCCTCGGAGTTGACGTCATCCTTTACATATTCGAATACAGAATTTAAATTCCATACTACGGGGCTGTTGGCTGGACTTTAACTCGGGGTTTAAATGTTTAGACATGTGCTACTACGACAAATAGCTATCTGGACAACATAATCCACGACATACAGCTGATGAAGATCAATAGAATGTGTTTCATTCTTGAATGGAAAGTGTCTTTATCTTGGACAGAATGGAAAAAACTCGTCGAACAAGCTAAGACCCACATAGGGTTATAACGCTACAAGAAGAAGAAGAAGTGTCTTTATCTAAATACATCCAATGTATTTTAAGTCATATAGACAGCAAAGCAATCTCAGCAGCTCAGATAACACTTTCAATTGAAAAACACTTGAAGGGATGTGAGAAATTCTAGGTTCTCATGGCATGAAGATTACAGTCTTCTGAGATATTGCGCCACGTAGCATCAGTAATTTCCTGAAAATTACCGAGCTTTACACAGATGTTATATAATGCATATCCTTTCTATTTTCTTGATGGCTACAATTTCTGTTCAAGATGTTCACCTCTCGTGTGAGTACAAATGATACATCTAAAAATGTCTTTAGGTCCTCAAGTAAAATGTAAGCCTTCAAAAGAAGGCAGCCATCTTTAAAACAAACCCAAATCAAAATGGCTTAACAAAATTTAGTTTTGGTTTCATTGGAACTGGTCCTTTGGTTATTTACAAATAAACAAACACGATGATTAGGATTTGAGATTTTCATGGTGGTTAAGTCTGAAGATGGCTGTCTTCATTATCGTAGCACCATGTAGTCTGGTAGAAGTTTACAAGCGTTTCAGAGGTCTTTGCAAACACACTGATGATGGAGGCAGCAAGGGCCTTTGAAATGCTGGTAAACTCCTATCAGATGTAAATATACTGAACAAAATAAACCAACAACAATCCAGGTCCATAAAATACACATCCATCCTCAACGTAACAGGCGAATGGTACACTTCGGGTGATATATACGCTACAGTATTAGCATTCTTCAACAGTGGCGATGAGAAAAGACAGTGAAACACCAATTAAAATGCAGCTAAGAAGATATGAATCCCTTAGTGGGGGGGATTGATGCGGAGAATCTTAAAATTGAGAAAACAGAACCATTTTCATAAAAACACATGATAAATCTAAAAACCAAAAATGGCATTTCACTGTTCTTCATTTTAGCAACAAGGAGCATTGTAAAGTCTGAGAAACCAAACATACACTTTCATTACAGCGCTAATAACATAATGAAAGTTAATATTTTCCACACTGAAGTGCTTTCAATAACATTTTATAAGTTACGCATTTAATAATCAGAGTAAGCGCAAAATGATTCTTTTTATTCGCTGTACATCTCAATCAACAAATGGTTACTGTCTGTCATCACAGACTGTACTATCAAAACAAAAACAAAACAAATTAATTTTCTTTATTTCATCAGTGATCCTCATGAGGTCTTCAAGCAATTTTTCTACCTGAACTTGGTAAAACATTCACCGAAGACCATCAAAATATTAATCTGCTAGAAAAAGTGTAAAATATGAGCCGAGGTCGAGAATGCATGGCACTACGTCTCAACCTCCCTATATATCGATATTATGTGGTGAACCAGGGATAACTCTACATTTATGCATATAATTTATCAAAACAGATAATGATCTGCTATAACAGAATAATAAAGACTAACAAGTATAATAGAAAGAAGTCTAGAAACATTTAATTTCTAAATAAGCAGCGATAATGAACACAGACATTAAAATTATACAAGAGGAAACAGACAGAATAAATGTGAAATGAGCTTAAAACTACTTCTTCCTTGGACAGTAAAATTTCCACCAAACGATAAAATTCAAGAGGACGTTCCAGACAGAATCTGTAGTCAGATAATTTCACCAGACTCTTAAAATATAATTTTGAGGATACAAAAGAATGGAGAAGGCTTTGTCAAAAGACAACCCTGCTCTATATATATATATAAGGCTTCCTGACACACCCATCCACCCTGAAGATGGCAACTACAATGTATGACAAAATATGAAAACTTTCAACATTTGATGTGGCTCATCCCCAAAACCCAAAGTTGTACGCACAACCCACAGTGATGAAAACAACAAAACGTGATGATAACGCTATGCGACGAGAGCCATTTAACGATTAAAATATGACACGCTGACTGAAAGAAAATGTGCTGATTTAAATGTATAAAGATATGAGCATGTTGACTGACTCATACTGTAACATGGTTTAAGGTGCATTATCATCATACCCGGTTCACTTGACGAGTCTCGGAAATAAAAGATTCTCTGGATCTATAAAACCGGAGTCGATATAGCGGTACTACTTAGAAAAAGACAATTCTGTTTATGTAGCAGCTGTGATCGTGTGACAAAAACTGGGAGGGTCTAGAAGCGGAAGGTTAGTTTACACCAATCTGATTCTGAAGAATTGGTGTTATCCGCACTCACGCGTAAACTGTACCTGCCTGGACACGACGTAACTCGGAGTTGCCTCACTACGACCGATCTCCACTACTACTTACATGTGCGATGGCAGTAAAGTTGCATTTGTCCAAACCTTGTACAAAGCTGTACCACTATAATATTCGGCCCACTTGACGTCTGTCTTAGAAACAAAGCGTTCTATGGACCTGTAAAACCAGAAACTGGTGCACTGGATCTCCCTTACAGTTCCTTGTACATAGGCATCACAGACTAGACGACTGCTTCGTGTAATATGGCACATGTCTTCACCTCGCAGCGGCGGTAGGTACAACGCTGCACCGAAATGGTGATTCACGACGTTATCACAGTCTCAGTGACGGTGTCTACTAGTGGATCACTAGGAACAATGATGATAAATTGCTGAACAGTTCCAAGCCAGTCCCCTGACGGCACGTCGTCGCCAGACGGGTTTTCGGGGTGACTCTGTACGCGGCGGTCTTCCTTTACTGATGACGGACGTCGTCTTCCTGCACGGCCATAATTCAGCATTATCATAACAGACTCATAACAGACAGTAATTCCACTAATTTAGGAACGGTATGCAAAGTAACAATTCCAGAGTTGTCTCGAGTCAATGACTTTTAAATGAGAAGGGTGTCTGAGCGACATGATCATAAGAGGATTATGGAGGAGTCAGAAATTGAAATTTCAGAATTTCTAAAACCTAGTTAACTTATTCCCCCACTTAATGGTACCTGCACCTTGTCGTGGTTGTGGGGCCGAGTACCTCAGTGGCCCCAAGAGCTATGCTGGCGGTAGCATAGCTACTGGTAGGGCCTCCCTAGCCAGATTGGTCGAGAGGGAGAGGTCAGACTAAGAAAGGTAACCTGGTCCTCCAGGTTGGGGGTTGGTCGCAAGGCTAACAACCTTGCGCCGTAAAAAGGAAGATGTTTCAAAACCTCGGACAGACGGACCTAACAGAGGACCGAATGGAAGAGGAGAATTGAGGAGGCCATGGACCGAGTATGGACCGGAGAGCCATAGAAGAAGAAGTTAACTGATTTAGGACATTAAAAAACTTCATAAACATGTGAGTAAATAAAAACACAGGCACACTCTTCAGTACCTTACCTGAATGGCCGCCCCTTCCTTCATACTCCAGCGAATCATTCTCGGCAGCCTGAACTAGGATCTGCAAGTTGCCCTGATCCTCTTCACATAGTGAACCTACAGAATAACCATCATCATTACATATAATCCACAGCTTTAGAACCATAATTTTGTTCTAGGATTAATACAGCATATTTATCATTAATTATGTCTATTGACAGTAGCTTTATAACGTTCCAATTCCTCACAAAATACTACCCACAACTGGGCTACACTGAAAAGGAATTTCCTAATTTCAGTCTCTGAACTTGCTAGCAAAAATTAATTTATATTAATATAAATTTTACAGTATTTCTAATACTAAAAGTGGGTAAGTCATTCACAAGGTGTTTATGTAATATAAAGTCACAGAACAATCATGTTTCAGGTCAGTCATTTTCAAAATTTCATATAATTTTTTAATTTCCTTTCACCACAGTCACACCTTTTCATTGTATTTTACTATAACCACAAAGACTCTTTAATTTACGTATTACAATCAGAGAATTGGTCATGATGTTTGATGTTTTGTTTGAAAAAGATTGTTAAATAATCTGCGGCGTAACAGCCCTCTGAGAGCCAAAGCCTCACTTTCACATGCCTAAGCAGAGGTGAACGATCATCCAACCAGATACAGGGTGACGTGTGGTCAGAACGATAAACCCCCAGCCATTGCTAGTTTCCATGACCGGATTACGCTACTCATTGTAGCTCCCCAATTTCCGCACGATGCTGGGTTGGCACCGGTCCCATACACCGGTCAAAAAATCTCACGAGAAATTTCTTTCTCCAAGATTCGAACCGGCACGCATTCCGTATTGCCGGTCCAAAGCATGATGCCTCAGACCGCGCGGCTACGGCGGAAAAAGATTGTAAATATATACTCAATTACTAGAATTCTCCAGAAACACAGCCTCCATGCTCTTTTGGCTATCAGCAACTAGATTGTCAAACGTCTGCTGCACTTGTTCCTGAATCACTTTACGCTGGTACTCTTCTGCCTCCGGGTATCTTCTGCGACGCGTGATGCGCTTGATTTTTGTTCGATCCACTGCAAGTAGAAATATAAACACAAAACGACGCACGTTATTTTTTAAAGCAAGAAACAAAACTTGAAGTAAATTTTTTAACACATATTATATGTGAATAAGGAATTTAAGTTCCCATCCTACAGGGCTGCCAACTGAACCTCAACCGCGAAGTTGGCAGTTTAGTGGTATGCTACTGGACTGTGAATAAGCCGTGACACACAAATGACGACAGTTAACGCTTATTACTGATTAAAGAATTAACAACTCTAATTCTTTAACTGAAGTCCAAATACCATGTTTTCATCGGGTCTGAAAGAATAAAGTACAAGAACAAACATCACATACTTCTACGTTTATTTAATGATGTTTTATCACCTGACCATTTCCTACAGCAACGGATAATGTGCCAATTATGAATAAGCTGGAAAAAATTGTAGGTTTTGTAGGTAAAACTGAAAAATTAAAAAAAAAAGGATATCAGGTCTCCAAATTGTAAGATTTGAGGTTTTCACAGCGGTGAGTATGAAGATTTCTGTCTTCTGGATTGTTGCGCCCTGATGACGGAGGCAGTATGACCTCCGAAACGTTGGTTAACATCGACCAGACTACACAGCGCAACAACCCAGAAGACAGAAATCTTCAGGTCTCCAAATTCAAACCACAGACGTCTCATACAAGAAGCTGGAATGATAAGCACGAAATCATGACATTCAGTCTGCAAATAATTTCTCTTGCAAAATTCTATGAAGCCAAATCTTTTATCAACTCACCTTCACGCTGATAGCCCAGTGGTAACAACACCATGTCATCGAACATCTCCTGTATAGGGGCTTGCTTTACGGAGAGGTGTCGAGTGTAGAGATGTACGAGATTTGCGGAACTCATCTTTCTACCTGTTGATTTCACAGATGATTACCGATTGCAAGGACTAACACCACAGACTCTACGTAAGTGCAGATAAAAATACCAAATCCTGACGAAAAAAACGCGGAGCTAGAAGACACCGAGTACCAGAGGAATTTAAAAAATTACAAAATTGAAAATTTCACAATTTTTATTCGCTCTTAATTTCTAACTGTATAGTGCGATGTCTCGAACGAGACTTCATGTTCTCGCGGCAGTGTTGTCTTCTGGTGTGTTGCACTGTGCAGTCTAATTAAAATTTGAGGGGGCAGATGACAGTCTGGCTGGAGCGGGGAGGGTGTAGCTCATATGCAAGGGAGAGAGGAAAGGATATACTTCTAACCTGATCATCATCAACTTTCTAAGGTTCTACCTTGCCAAAATGAATCCCAAATCTCAAACTAATTGCATGCACATGGCTTACTCTGATGATGGAGGCAGCAGGCACTTCTCAAACATCAGTTAAACTTCTACCAGACTACACAGCACAATATCCCAAAAGAGTCATCTTCTAGTGAACTAGATTTGCGACAGCAGAGTCATAAGTGCAATAAATGAACAATAACGCCGATGAATCACATAGAATAGCAAAGATGGGTGTTCTCGGGAGAGACGTATCTCTCGACCCGGCACATTACCATCTTATGCACTCTCCGTAAGTCAAGAAAGAATTTAACGTCAGCTAAATGCATTACCTGGAGATGAAAACAATTTCCCAAAGCCCTTATTGCTCAGGTGGTTCATCATTTTCTTTGAACTGGGCGCAAGATCAAGCCTGCCGATGATGTCAGAAGTGTCGCTCAGTTGTGCTTTAAAATCCGACACAGGGATACTAGTGTGCTTGTCCGAAACCATGCGACTGCGCCTAAACCGTACGTAACGTTCTGAACCTACAGAAGAGAAAGTTTATTAAAAGTGCTTATTCGACTAATAATCACTACTGTGTTCCTGGTGTTTGTTTATGCTACATCTACAGTTGTAAATGGCGTGTAGTGTCGAGTCCACCCAGACAATTCCGCAGTTATAACTGTGGCCACGCCATCTCACTCGCATATTATCCGATAATATTCTTTATGTTAAATAAGTACACCAAATATAAGTTTGAATCAGAAATAAGTATGGTGGGATATAAGTTGTGCACAAGTAGCATTTAAAAGTTCATATTTTATGCTTTGTGTATATGACAGATCCTAGTATTGGGGGACTCCCTAAACTTCGAAGTCATTTTGTATACCAATATATGCAATTATCTCTTATCTCCACTGAAGACAAGGTCACAAAACTTTCAAGACTATTCCTTTACAACACTTTGTGTGTTACTGATTACACGTCCTCAGTTCGTACACAGTAAGATGAACGTAGATCACCTTTTTACGACAAACCTTCACATGCTTGCTAGAATTTACATTTAATTCAAATTATTTCTCTACTTCAACAGATACCTTATCGCTTTACACAAGTATAAAACACGATTTTGCACTTCTTTTAAAGTTACGCATAAATTTACCAATGGGACATCTTGGTTGTACCACTCGTTTGACAGTCGGCAACTGAGACTCGTTGTTCCAACCGGATGGAGCAGACAAAACCTGATTATCCTGGACGGTGACAAAGCAATTCCCTATCATCATGGACTGGAACAAGAAGGCAACACAAAATTTTACTTTAGTCTCGATTTACAAAACTTTTAGCATGACGTCTGTCAACAAAAGGATATACAAATACAATTATTGAACAAGAGATTATAGGGTCATACTTAATTTTTAATTCAAACTAAGTACCTAACACACTCTCCCACTTAACGGTACCTGCACCTTGTCGTGGTAGTGGGGCTTGAGTACCTCAGTGACCCCAAGAGCTATGCTGGCGGTAGCATAGCTACTGATAGGGGGAGAGGTCAGACTAAGACAAGTACCCTGGTCCTCCAGGTTGGGGGTTGGTCGCAAGGCTAACAACCTTGCACCGTAAAAAGGAAGATGTTTAGAAACCTCAATCAAAGCCTCGGACAGACGGACCTAACAGAGGACCGAATGGAAGAGAATTGAGGAGGCCATGGATAAAGTTCTGCCATGCCGCCAAACATGTAATCCTTTGACATACACCAATAAATAAATAAATAAATTACAATATTTTTAATTTAGCACAAATAAAGCATTCTTGTTACCCAGATGACTAAAACAGGAACTGAAAAAGCTCAAAACAGCTGTGAGAAAAACAAACGCAATGCACAATCAACATTTACCTGATCTTCCTGGACCGAAGTGCCCGCCGGACTGACGACTGTCGCGTAATCTCCGATGTGTATTGATTGTACCTCGTCGTTCTCAGTCATCATCGTTCCGACCGGAACCTAAAATATACGGTGAGTTACCACCAGGCTCTACAGAATAACCAAGCAGATGAAGATTGGGTGTGAGGTCACACGTACTTACAAGTAGAAATATTTGTCAAATTTGGTCTTCTGGGTTGTCATTTGGATTTGTAAGTAGATACCAATGTTTTGGAGAAACAAGCTGCCTATTTCTTCAGCCCTGAAGATGGAAACAGTATGTTCCTCTGAAACGCCGGTTATCTACCTAGAAGTCCACCTGGCTTTAAAATTCAGAATCTCGAAATCATAGAAAATATTTACTGCATGACTGAAAGAATTTATCTTAAGTTACAGGAGCCACAATTCAGTTAAATATTAAAAAGTCTTGCCTGCTCGAATCCAGAATGCGAAGCGACACCTTGGCTTGCTCTGGATAAGCTTCGAATGCAATTATGACTTTCCCTGAGGTTTACTTATGGTTACATACCCTGACAGAAAATAGTATACACAATGTCTGGCACACACAGTTAATTGGATAGCTGTTCTTTGTTTAGGTCACTAGTCAACAAGCTGACTCTGCTATTCCCCCCCCCCTCTCCCCACCCCAGCTGCCAGCTCTGTTTGCTGTCTCTCATAAGCTGTAAATTATCCCAACTAGAGGGGAGAAAAGTATCTATGGACTTCTTTGTTCATGCATCTGAGCAATCATTTTGTTTTAGGACACAAAATAAATTATTTAATTGTATTTGTTTTATTCTACTTAATACATAATCTTCATATTGCCTTGTCAATTATAATACATATAGCAGAGAATCAACTAATGCCTTATTAACTGTCAGTATAAACAAAGGCTGGCCTGAAAAGTACCTACCAAGTTTAAAAACAATTTTCTCCACAATGAGAGGATTTTAATCTGAAGAAACTTTGCTGACACACTGTACTACTCAAGCAATTTATAGATACAGTAAAACCTCTCTAAGTTGGACACTTGGGGTTCCACGAAAATGTGTCCGACTTACAGAGGTGTCCAAGATGGAAAGAAAAAAATCAGATTGTGGTCTAATGACGATATAATCTACTGTAGGCTTACTTAAATTAATAATTAATGACAATAGTATTAATAATAATCTTTTGAAGCCCACTCCCACGCACTGCACATTACACCCCAGCCTCAATAACATTTTCTAAAGTTAATTCCACCAATTTTCGCTTCCCCATCGCAAAAAGAAAAAATTCCATTTCTGTTAACACAGTCTTAACTCAAATACAAGCGGAGTTAAAACTGCATCTTCTGCAAAACTGTAGTCCAGTTAAGGGTTCAACAAAAGAACAGTTAAACACTTGCAATGCATTCCAATGATGGGTTTCGATGTCCGTAAGATAATCCTCGAGAGAGGATGCATTCAACAGTCCGAAATTCAAAATAACAAAATATGTAACTGAAAAAGTTTCCCTGAAAAGCATCGAAGTTAAGTGCATGAACCTGTCCAACTTAAAACAAAAGGGGTGTTCAAGTTCCAGGATAAAGATGTGTCCAACTTGAGAGGTTTTACTGTACTATACAAAAATTCAGCCCACCACAAAGAAAACACACTTCACCATTACAAAATTAAGTGGTTAATGCCATTTAATATAATAAGGAAATGCCTTCTGTTTCACTGAGAATCGTATGAGATCAATGAATATGAACTGCAGATTTATTTGTTTTTAAAGCAGGTGGGAAACACGATTCCTGCTCGAACCTAAAGCATTAATTTTTCAAGAAAACAAAAGTTGCATACCTCCAGTGTTTCTACAGCCATTGGGACCTGCAGGGCATTGCCATATGCAACTTCCATGTTCCCATCCGCTTCATCAAGATCAAGAACGTGAATTGTCGTCACTTCCATTTCATTCTGATAAAATAAAAATACATCAATATGACGGTAGTGCAAATAGAAACAGATCCGTAAGCCGGGAAGGGAAATTCAAACCACACAAACAGAGAAAAATACACATGTGAGGTGCCATTCCTCTTTCCATACTAAGCAATGATACTCAGATTGATGGTGAACAAACCATATCTTCTGCCAACGTTTCAAGAGCAATCCCTGCTCTCGAATGGCAGAAGATATTATAATTTACTTTTGTTTCCATCTTGTACATAATTTACTCCTAAGCATTGGGAAACAGAAATGAAAAACGTAACTTAATAACAAAAGCATCCACCAGAATTATGACCATCATACCTCAGAAACGTCCCCAGATCCAACTATAGTAGTTGATGAGTATTGCTTTCTTGCATCCACTGCACCACTATATGCAGAGTAATATTTGTTAGAGGTCTCTGGCGTCATGACGAGCGAACTATGCTGTGCATGAATGAAACCATTATCATCAAATGCTTGAAATATGACAGCATCCGGTTTGCACTTTGAAATAATGCCATTTTCTTCACCGGAGTTGTTCGATTCATCTTCGTTGTTTGGTAATATCGTTTCCACGATCTGAATCACTTCCGGCTCGTTCATTTTTTTCATATTTGTATCAGTTTCTCGACAAGTAATCGCAGGACGCGAACTTCAAAAGAAATCTACACGTAGCGAATCTTGAACAGGTGATAATGTTATATGACTCTTCAAAATCAATACGAAAATATACACACTTGCACAAACGTGTCCATTGGATCTTCATGCTGTTTTCTCCTACACTGGAATATAAAAACAATGATTGCATTGTGCAAGAGACAGACATTTTCAGTTATCATTCACAGACATTAAAACTGCAAAGGAATAATGTACAAAGTCACTATATCATTTCTCCACATATCACTCAAACGAAAACAAAACATGTCAATTTTCTGTTAATATCTTAAGTGTTGGTCTGGGATTCCATTTGGTATTTTCTAAAGCAAATGTAATAGCTTTTAGCTAATATGATGATTATTTGTACATACCATTCACCTTCCAACAGATGTCACATATTAATGGCTAAATTTAAAACTGAAACTTTGGACTTCTTTAGTTTCACAGAACAGACTTTCACAGTAAGAAACATAACACAGAAAATTCATGAAACTATTAATGTAATCTAGTTTAATCACTTCTGATAAAATAGTCACTCATTAACAACAAATGAAAGACATGACAAATTATGGTTGGCCATCTGACGTTTTATAGACAATAAAATGATACACATTTCACTCTAAAAGTATCCAAAACAAGCAACCTATGGTCTAACTTTCATTGTTATAAGTATACTTCTGCAATACTTCTACAAGCCTATAACAAAAACAATAAGTTACATCCAAAATTAGTTACATGATTTCGCTAGACCAGTGATTATATCCACTTGAACTGTGATGCTGCTCCAAACACAACTGTTATTTAGAACAGTGTAAGAAACATAAACGTTTGTACCCTCTTCACATGCTTCTGCAGTCAAAAACCCTCCTCACATAAACATGGTCCCCTATTCAATAAAAGCCTGCATAAATACGTTTTCGATTCAAAACTGTGAGGTAAGGCTTTACTGTTGCTATAAAAACTTACAGCGCTCAGCTCTAGAGTTTGGTAAAACATAATGAAAATCCATTTTAACACGACTTAAATCCAACACAACAATATTTCAACCTTGTTTCTAATGCGCAAGTCAAGCACAATCCGTGCTGACTTACAAAAGACCACGTCATAAAATGAACATTAAAGAACCAGTTTCTACATTTTTACGACCTACGGAAAAAAATTTGACCTCCCTAGTTTTACCTGATTTTTTTTAGATTTTGGACAGTATTAAACAAAAATCACACCAACATTCACTACCACCAAACACAAATGCTCAACATACCATACTATTTTATAATTTTTACGTCTATCGATAAATACGAGTGGCAAGTGAAACCGCACAACACACGGCCATGGTTCTGTGCACGTTAAATATTACATCCATTCCACAACCAAATATTACGATAACAAACAATTAAGTACGCTTGCTTTTTTTTTAGAGTTTGTGCATTAGTGGGATGTGTTAAAAACCATGCTAAATATTTAATAACAATATTCCCGCGACACACAATTTCATACACTTGGCACTTTCCGCAAGATGGCGAAGAAACATATCAAACAAGAACAAATGACATCTCTCCAAGGTTGCCATAACATTGTCCAAAAAAAAAAAATGACATCCAATAAATTTACCCATTGCCTTCGTCCGTCATCCCTCGACTTTACCTTTTCAAAACCCAAATTACCCAGGGATGGCTAAAATTGCAAATACCAACCATCATACAACAAAAGTAGTCAGTTTTATAGAGTTACTTACCCTTACCATCCCCTAGAACAACACTTATGCCAGTAAACTGGCTTCTGAATCTTCGTAACAGTTTTAACAACTATGGATCGCTACCCCTTCAACCCAACCACCAACCTGGACGAACTGACCTCCCCCCTCCCCCACTTCAAGTTCCATAAGGGCGGGCCATCAAAATTTAAGTTCCTAACCTATTCGTAACTTGCTATACAAACGTATAAGCACAGATTTAACCGCAAACATTGTATTTTAATGCATCAATTTCAACAAGTTTATCAACAAATGTTTAACAAGGACTATGTTGTAAAATATATGCATGTAGGATTTGTGGTTTTCACGGCGGTGAGTCTGAAGTTGGCTGTCTTCTGGGTTTGTTGCAACGTGTAGTATGTTAAAAGTTTACCGACGTTTCAGATGTCCTTACTGCCTCCATCATCAGAGCAATGATTACTCATAATCATCGCCCTGATAATCAATAATAATTTCGTATGTCCGGCTCCAATTACTGAGATCCATTGTAAATAATTATGAAGTGCATTTGTAGTTAATTTTAATAAAACGGTATTTGTACACGCATGCGCAGTATTTCAAAGCTGTCTATTCTAGACGCAGATAAGATATATCACGTGATGAATTGTACACATCCTCAGATATTTTCGGATGGATTTGTGTAATTAGTATATAAAGATGTGAGAGATTTAGCATTATTAACGTACATAAAACGCCAAATAAATATTTTATTAAATATATTATAAGAATATACATGTTGGACGGTTAAATATATATATATACAGACATACATTTCCATATTACTGTGTAGTCCATGTATCTTATCAGTAACCTGTGGATAAAAACGTGTTGAATTTCAAATGAAATCGAGATAACAGAGGCTCCTGACATTTCGAAGAGGTAGATAGCTGATGCGGAAACACACTGAAACAAGAACAGCTTACAAATAGATAACTGGTGAGCTCCTGCCAATTTCGTAATTTTTCGACTGACAACGGTTTCTGTGTTACTTTTAACAATTTCATAGAATTATAAGTCAATAAAGCGTTTATAACCAGAGCTTAATTTATTAAACGACAACCTCTCGTAAGATACTGTAAGCTAAAAACAGTGAACAAACATTTTCCTCCAGCGTAACACATAATAGAACGCCATGTTAATTATCGCATGTACGAATTTCAGTCCCTCCAGAACTAGGCCACTTGGAGGGGAAATAAAGCCGGCCTAAGTTTCCTCTACTGGTTCTCTCCTCCAGAGATAATCCAGAGACAACATCAAATGAGGTGTAGCTTAACGTTTTGCAGTCAAGCTAATAAGCCATAAGTACGAAATGGACAGGAAACTGAGCTACTAACAGGAGAGAAAAATCATAATCAGTAGTTTAGTATGTAGCATCGCCACTGTACTGAGTTATATCTCACAATAATCCATCTCATAGCTATATCAAGTAACAGTTTCGACATCATACATCCTTCATATCACAGCACATGACTAAAGCAATTCAACGACCTTGCCTTATCTAACGAGCTTACTATATAATTTCTTTGTCTCTCCAGACACCTTATCACAGCCAATACTTATTTGTCCTCCCTACTTTAATAATAAAACAATCAGATTTTATACAGCACATCATAGGTTTTTTTTCCATAAAATTATTCAATGCTAAATAATGTGTACAATCCGATATCGCAAAACTGTCTTTGACTTCCGAGAGATCTCTTAATTTTATTTAAATTTGGTATTAATACAAAGTCGTATCAAATCTAATATACTGTCCAGAAAATGCTAAGTTTCTTTCTTAAATATCAGTTTCAAGTCATTGGTTTTTCATGTAACAAAAATATACCAACAATATCTGTTATTTCAAACATCGGAAGTGTCAAACCGGAAGTCACATCGCTCTGTAATCTTCAACAAGACCCAAAACAGCTTAAATGAACTTGATAGATACAGACATTAAAACGTTGCCATTTACAAAATATGTGTTCTGTAATTGCTAAATTCCTTCAGGCAATAAAAATAGTGCAATTAAAACATATTCTATTGTTACTAACGCGACATCATTAAAGGTTTATACAGATTTATGTACTAAAATGCTTTGAGTAATATCTTGTTTAATATTAACATCCGTTCCATTATTTATTAAAAATAATTCTACTGCCAAACAACATTTTTAAGTTGTGCAGGTATTAAAGGAGATAATCGGAATAAACATGGCAGAGTTGCGATATCATAAAATTGAAATGACGTGTTTAACCTATATTGGACAAATATAGAATGTAGATCCTAAGCCATAGACAGATAACAATGAGCAAAATAATCAATAACTTAAAGCTAATTGTATAATATAATAATTATCATGATAATAATACTGCAAGTACCCGCATTCGAGACGAAATACCTTTTTCGTTTAACGACATCAACAATTCAAAGATGGCGTCACAATGGGATCTGCCTTGCAGAATGATTATTAGTACCAAATCACAGCAAAGAAATTATGTAAAATAAAAACAATAATTAAATATTATGTAATATAAGCTCAATGGACCCGTTAATATAAATTCAAAAAAAATATATGTTTTTTTCGTTTTACTTCATTAGCAATGATAAAAATCTAATAAATTAAATAATTATATTAGTTTAATTAAATGTTGTGTATATAGTGAAAGTTTTCTTGGCAACGCAACCGTGAGGCATGCCCCTGTTTACGTCAGTAAAAATTTGTCACTGTATAAGCTCATTGTAAGATTAATAGTGTATAAAGCATATAATTAAGTTACATAATTATGAATTATAATTTTATATATGTATATAAAATTCTTTGTGTTATATCAGTGTTAAAAATCTTCCCTGGGTAATTTGGTTACAGTTCTATTTCAAATTCGTAAACACGTATCAGAATTAATTTCAATGTGGGGAAAGAATAAATTCTGAAGCACACGCGTAAGATGCAGGAAAAAAATATTCTGTGCAGAAAAAGTTTGCCACCACTGACCCCCCTATTATTGACGTCATTATCAAAGTCTTTTTTCCATAAACGAAGTCTAATCAGAGTTGATTAATATATATGTCAGTGATGATAAGCGTCCTTAAAAAATTCTGTAATTATTTTGTTACAACTGTATGAATATTATGTAATAAAACCCAGTTACTAATCTGTTACAGTGACTCCACAGACATCACGAGGTCAGTATAGCCATTCTTAAAAAAACAAAACAGTTAGTTCCAGACAGAACTAATAAAACTTACTTTTCCATTGCACATTATCCCAGCTCTTAACATTGTCTACTATTAATATTATATTATACGTAATTTAAATTTATAAATCAACAATCAAATCAAATTTAGTTCATGGATGTGTATGCAGTTCATAATTCTGTAGTAACAGTAATATTCTCATTTTGGAAAAGCACTTGTTACGTAATTGCATATTCTGTATTTGTTAGGTTATGTTTGTTATTTCAATCTTTGTTATTACTGACTCATACAAAATTTATATGTATATTTATGATGTACTCCCACATCGAATATCAAATGCCGAGTTCCAGTCGATTATTGATTATCATCAGCGTTAAACCAGAAGCTAAATATAGATGTAATGCAGTTGCCTACCTACAAAAAAAAAAACCTTTGAAAAATATACGTATCTTTATAAGACCTGCGCATGCGCACATCATTACAGAGTAGCAATACTGCCATTTCCCTCTCGTTAGTTGTCTGTCCACCATTTTATTACTGGTAGTAGGAGATTAAAACTTACGCAGTTGATGCGGATTCCAGTGGAATGATGAAAATAATGATCCCAAGACGATGCTTAGGATGTACGTTGTTTAATTAATTGATGTAAGATTTGCCAATTGTAGAAAGGTCAATTATATAAAATTATTATTGTGGATGCAGCGACCTTCTACTCAGATATAGCTCAGATGCAGTCACGGCATTGATGACTTCTTCAACGCTGACAATTCTCGTATCCAACAAATAACTCTCATGATTGCTCTTCATAACCTGGATTCTCCGTTTCAACTCCTCTTTGAATGACTGTTCTGATGGAGACTTTGAAAAGTCATCCAAAAGATTTTGGATGTCATAACCAGCAGCTACGAGGTTCCTCAATATGATTGTCTTCTTCTTCTCACTCGTTTTCCTTTGATTACGTACAATGACTCTCAAACCTTCGATTTTCACATCTACATAATATTTCCATTTCGAATAGAATTCCATGCAACGAAAAGTATACGTGTACATTTCCAACCTCGGGATGTCTAACGACAGCGACTCCCTGCAATAGTTAAAGTTTATTTCTAATAATATCCATGTTACGAATTAATTATAACAATTCCTTCTGTCTTTTACATTTGTGGCGTGTCGTTTCAAAAATAGAAAATTCATCCCTTGCCATTCCTTGACAAAAAGGAAAAATTTCCTAAATCGTGATGATTAAATATTTACGTTACTATAAAAATATAGAATAAATTAATGTCATCTATTGAAACATTTAGCATGGGAAGGTTTAACAAGATACGATTCTTGTCAATAGCTTTAGAAATGGGTTATAAACAATTTGACATTCTGATTGGCAGATTTTATCGTGGTAAATTTTAAAATATTCACAAGTCGTGCTTGTACTGTCTTGATTAACTTTTATAAAGAGTGAAAGTTACCTTTGATCGACTTATCACCTGACAAACTTCGATAGTAATTCCTATTATCAAATTTAATCGGAGATAATCGAATATTCAGTGAGATAACAGCCTCATCATTACTATTCATTTTATGGACTTTGTATAAAGAATGTATAAGAATCTGAAGTTGGCGAAGGCGTATTAAGACATGCTGAAAAATGTATTATATAAATGTTAATTTGAATATTATCCAACATCATTTTATATTAATGTTTCGAAGTTTGTTGTATGACTGAATTCGAGCGATCGATTGTAATTTGACAATTTGTTATTGTACGTATTTCCACGTGACTCTTTGAATATTAGGACTCTAAGAATCTGGTTCATTCCAAAACGTAATGTATATAAAATATGTTCGAAATAGTGAACAGTATTCAATATAATATTCGCATAATTAATCAACCATTTCCATAAACCTTTATAGAATCGTTATAAAATACGAGTTCTAAAATTCGTAGTTGATTAATTTGAGATTTCACTCCTAAAATGTAACTGAAAACTCCTTACACTTTAAAGTATCGACTGAGGAGGGTATAAAGGTCCTTGGCATCTTCAGCTGCTCGGTGGACCTGTCTGCGACTCCCAACAAAATTCTGGTACAAATGTTGCAGTGACAATGAACGGTAACATCGGGAATTATCCTCTTGGAAGATGGCGTTCGAATCGCAAAATCCTAACACAACCTAAATAATAAAATGAATATCACTGTGATGGAACTGAGACACGAAAGTAAACTCACGGACGTTGAGGTTTTCTGGGTTGTGTGTTTTACGAACTAGGAGCGTCGGTAGTCATGGCAACATAACCCAGAAGACCACAAAATAACATCAAGTCTCTGTTACATTTAAACCTGGGCCCATTAACGACGACTGGGTTGGGAGATTTGAATTTGAAAAGTATTTTGAATGAGAAACTGAATATTAAAAAAATCGGTAGACTGTAGCATATTTTTAAAGTACTGTCTCAGTACTTGCTAGGAGGAACTGAGGAAGACCACACATATCTTACGTAACTAAGGCTTTGCGTGTATCTACTTAATTGACACACTCTTTGAAGTTTTCGCCTTTTACTAAGTATGTTAGTGTTTTTGTTTGTTAACTTGACTATATTTCGAAAAGTGATTTGTTATTTTTTTTTTCTAAACTCGCTTTTCTTTGTAAAATCGGTATCAAAAGATATAAAATGTGTTCTGTTTAAGTTTCATGTTGTCATAAAGTGTGAATTGTATTTTAATAACATTAACCGTAATTAAATTCGTCCGAAATCTTTTTGTCAAGAGCCCCTTTTCCATCAAACTTAACCACAAACTATGCATTAACCAACTTTTGGCGATCAACATTGCATTTGTTGGCAGAGACGTTAAAATACACAGGTTCTTTAAACTTTAAAGGCATGACGCTCATACTAAATTTCACAAATTTCTGTTTATTCTTCGAAACATTATTACGTGGGGGGGGGGGGGGGAAAAAAAAAAAACACACTGATACACTACAAAACCTGTATGCTCTTAAAACCAGGAAAACAGGTTAAAATTAATAAATTCGTGCGATAAATGGATATTTTATCAGCACGTCATATTGTTTTGCGGGCCGTTCATTGAGATAAGATAGTCTACCTGGAAGAAACTTTCTGACATGCCAGTGCGCTGTATAGCTCGAATCAATACTGGAATGTCGAGAAATATCGCCCCGTGACTAACAAGCACTATACCATCGTATCCTTCCTTGACAGACGTTAACCATTTTAAAAATAAGAGAAGTCCTTCGGACTCAGTAACTGTCGGCACAACTGATTTAGTCCTGAGAACAAAAACAAATAAGCAAATAAATACATAAATTAATTAGCAAATTGCATTTAATTAACCATTTAAAACTCAGCGGTAACTATATGTAACATATTATTTAATAATTAACTACTACGAATTCTACCCACAAAGCAGATTCTGAGAATAAACAGCGATTATTCCTTTAAACAGCGTTAACCAATCGATCTTTTGTAATGGTGAAGAGTTGTGTTTTCTTCGCGGTACGGACTAGATGTTTAAATATTATGTACGTAGCGCGTGTCTCATTATAAACAGCGATTATTCCTTTAAACAGCGTTAACCAATCGATCTTTGTAATGGTGAAGAGATGTGTTTTCTTCGCGGTACGGACTAGCTGTTTAAATATTATGTACGTAGCGCGTGTCTCATTATAAACAGCGATTATTCCTTTAAACAGCGTTAACCAATCGATCTTTTGTAATGGTGAAGAGTTGGGTTTTCTTCGCGGTACGGACTGGATTATTAAATGCTATTTCGACTAACTTTGGCTTCAAAAGCTGCTTCATGAATAGTGCAATATTGCATCTATGAAAAACAAAATGTCTGTTTTACATTCACTTTATGAATATATCGGTAAGAAACAAAATCTTATGACTTGCAATGTAAGAGGTCCGGTGAGAAGTAAATTCACCTGGTATCGTAAAGATTTCCTTCGTGAACTTTAAGCCCAATTTTGCAGGCGGCTTCTGGATGAATATGTCTCGTAGCTGGTAAGATAAACTGGCTGAATTCTGAAGATCTTGTACCAGCTGGAATGTATGTGTACGCTCCGACCTGTATTATTTCGTCATCTGAACTCAAACCAGTCGTTTCCAGGTCGTATGAGACGACAAGGCAGTTTCTAGTATCTGCTGGTAGACGTTCTTCCACGGGCGGATTAATAATATCATTCGTTGCCTGCTGAATTAAGCGTTAACATTTAAGTAACACGCACGTATACAAAAGAGACATCTAACCGGAGGGTTAAAAATTCTTCGAATGTCCATTCAAGAATCCCATTATAAAAATTCCATCACGGAACAAATTCGACTAAGTTCTTTGACGCTTACATGTGACTGTTATAGGCAACTGGGCCTCAGACATGGACTCATGATGATGATGATGTCTGAGAACTAAATATCACG